CCTAACCCTAACCCTAACCCTAACCCTAACCCTAACCCTAACCCTAACCCTAACCCTAACCCTAACCCTAACCCTAACCCTAACCCTAAACCCTAACCCTAACCCTAACCCTAACCCTAACCCTAATTATCCTTTAAGGTAAACCCTTCGAACCTATTCACCCGCTAGGCAATTCCAACGCCTAGGCTACAGAGGCCTCGTTACAATAACTTAACTCAACTTAATCAAAATTTAGGTTAGGCTATTATATAACAACTAACTATAATAAGGCTGAAAAAATAAGAGTTATCGGAGTAATCCTAGCTGACAATAATTTAGCGAGTAAGAGTAGGTAATAGTAAGTATAGTACCGGGTAGATAGTTAGACTACTACCTTTCGATAATATTAAATATCTACCTACTCCATAAAGTCTGTACTACTGAATTAGGGATATCTAGTTCAAAGTCGCACATGGTTTGATTTTGGCTTGCAGCTAGAATATTCTGAATAATTTCCTGCTCCGAACCCATATTTTCAAGCGGCACGAATCTCTCCAGCTGCTCGTCGAGTGCAGTAATACTCGGATTCAAAGAAGCGAAGGTAAATTTAGTATCGTTCAGAGAATGCTGAGGGAACATGCCAATGCGCGAAGCTAGATCATTGACCTTAGCTCTTAGCTGCTCGTCGGTAGGGTGGAAGCTGTTAAACAAGCCCAGCGCTGCGCCGGTCGGCCCGTCAAATTCCTGTGCTGCAAGGAGATACTCCATGGCACGAGCCCTGCCAACTGTATGGCCTAAAAACGGCTGACCGCCAGCTGCGGCCGTGAGACCGAGAGCATTTTCGAACGAGCTGGCACGCGCCTTGGGACCGGCAAAGCGCATGTCCATTTGGATGATTAGCTCATGCCCGGCTCCGATAACGCGGCCGTTGATTTCAGCCACAAAGGCCGTGCTCGTCGTGTTAAGTAGAAAGCGCGTGCATTCGACGAGCTGGTTAAACACAGCCGTTTTGGTATCCGTGAAGGGTTTGGCGATGTTGTGAAGGTCAAAGTGCCCTAGGTAAAATTCTGGGTTGGCGCTGTTGAAGATGACGGCCTTCGGAGTGGTTTTGTTGACGGCTGGCTGCAACCATGTGAGGAAGTCGTGCAAATCCGATATAAGCTTGTAGTCAACGAGGTTGATTGGAGGGTTGTCAAATGTCGCCCAGGTGATGTTGCTGATCTGTCTAAAGGCAATGGTGCCATAACGGGACCGTGGAGGGGCGGGGGGAACAGACTGCCCAAGGCCAGGCCAAAAGTGCAGGGAGACCGCCAGGAGCAATAAGGTTAACGCCACCATCGTGTATGGCTTGCGAGGTGAGATTCTGCCGCGGATGGCTTACACTTATTTATAATCATTTAGCGCTTCCGCGATCGGCAATTAAAGTAGTGGCCCGGCGGCTCGGCACGACGCGCATCAACCCCGCTTTGTCCGGTCCCACGCCGGTTACAGTCTGGACATGCAAGCCAGGCTGATATGTAAGTGGGGACTGCACGTTAGATGCGCGTAGAGTATGGTCCTGCTCTGGTCTCAGTCCGGGTGTTGCGGGGGCTCTGCAATGACTTGTAAGCAGTACTCATATATGCATCGTTGGCGGCCGCATTGGAAGGGCTACATTGAGCAATGCATCTCGCCCTTTACGTGCCTGCAGTACTTACTGCTCTTTCTCTCGCGCCCTCTGTCTCTGCCGATCTCTTCTTAAAGCAACAAAACGGCCACACACGTCTTGCCGGGACGTCTTTCGGAGTTAGCGGTATCAATGCGACTTTTGACTATGTGGTGCGTAAATTTTAACTAGCAATTCGTTTTTCTATAGCAGGACTGACTTGAAATGAAGATTGTAGGAGGAGGGACCGCAGGCCTCACTGTAGCTAGTCGCCTTGCTGAATATGGAAAGTTTTCAGTTGCGGTGGTAGAGGCGGGAGGGTTTGCAGAGATTGAGAATGGCAATCTCTCACAGATTCCGGCCATGGCTCCGAGGTTCGCATCTGACAGCATCGAAGATATCCAGGCAGCTGTTGATTGGGGCATCATCACTGAGCCGGAACCGGTAAGGCTACGACACCAGAATGGAAATCATGGCTACTAATTCCAGCTGTAGACATTGAACAACCGGCGCTTGCACTACACGCAGGGGAAATGTTTAGGAGGCAGGCAAGTTTCTTCCCGTGCCAGTTGCTTTGTCCGCTCCTGCTAACCAGCACTAAGCTCTGTACGCAATTACCTTGTATACCAGAGGTATTGGATTTGACTGGCCCTAATATTCAGAGGATGTGTTTCTAATACTCTCAGGTCAACAAAAGGCTCCTTCCAACGTTGGGCAGACGTGGTGGGAGACCAGAGTTTCACGTTTGACGACATTCTCCCCTACTTTAAGCGCAGTGTTACCTTTACGCCTCCAAACTACGTCAAACGCGGGCCGCACTCGAACATTCTATACGACTCCGAAGCCTTTGACTCAAGCGGCGGCCCCTTGCAAGTATCGTATGCTAACTATTATTCGCCAACATCGCTGTATGTGAAGCGAGGATTCGAGAAGCTGGGCCTAGCAGAAACTGCAGGGGCTCAGAGCGGGAAGCTCCTTGGCTTCACTGAGTATCCGTATACATTAGACCCTGATGACGCAACTAGAAGTTCCTCCGAGACGTCGTTTCTACAGTATGCTATGTTATCAACGAACCTACAAATCTACCAACACACCCTGGCTAAACGTATACTTTTTAACGGGTCAAAGAGTGCAAACAGTGTGCTCGTAGATACCTCCGGTGCTTCGTATATCCTTACCGCGAATAAGGAAGTTATTATTTCAGCAGGAGCGGTGTGTACAGGCTTCCGAATTGTCCCTAATGTTAAGGATTATGCTAATACGCTGCCACGCAGTTGCGGTCTCCACAACTCCTTATGGTTTCCGGGATTGGCCCGCGTAATACGCTCATGGCTCATGGCATCCCGGTACTATCAAACCTGGAAGGGGTGGGCAAGAACTGGATTGTAAGAACATTTGCTTAAGGTTCCGGGCAGAGTCGCTGACACAGTAGTTCAAAGGATCAGCCATTCTTTGGGCCGGTGTATTCCACAGATGTGGTTACGCAGTCGCAGTTAACAAACAACGCATCCTTTTTTTCGGATGCGCTGCAATCATACCTTGGCAATGCATCAGGCCCTTTGACGACGTCAGTGGCTAACTATCTCGGTAGGTTTGCCCTATGCAGCCATAGTCAGCAGCGCTAAACGCCCCCACACAGCATGGGAGAAGCTTCCCGCCTCGTATCGCACAGCCCTTAGTTCCAGCACCATCGCCGACCTCGATGCCTTTCCTGAGGATTGGCCAGATATACAGATAGACCCCATTCCCAGCGCAGCCGTCGCCACCAACGGCACTGGCAACTACTTCTCCATCTACATGACGCTGCAGACGACCACATCACGAGGTAACGTGACTATAAGCTCAGCCGACACGTCAGATAACCCTGTAGTGCGACTGAATTGGCTGACCACGAGCACCGACCGCGAGGTTGCCGTAGCCGCTTTTAGGCGCGCACGCGAGGTAGCTGTGGCGACGGGGCTGGCGGCTCTGGAAGACGAAGCAGCGCCGGGCCCAACAGTGCAGAGCGATGCAGATATCCTTGAATACATCGCGGATACTGCGACGGCTATATTCCACGCCTCTGGCACATGTTCGCAATCCCCGTCGCGCTCATGTAACAGCGCTAACACCCATGCAGGTACAATGGGCAGGCCAGAAAATCCACAAGCTGTAGTTGATTCTGCTGGCCTCGTATATGGCGTAGAGGGCTTGCGTATCATCGATGCAAGCATCTTTCCCATTCTCCCACCCGGTCAAACCCAGGCAAACATCTGTAAGCAGACGTTGAGCGACTGTAACAAGTTTCACAACAGCTAACGGAAATGAAGACATGCTCGCAGAAAAGATAGCAGATCAAATTCTAGAACTAAGCAATAAATGAGCGACAGGCTGCGTGGGCAGCTCCGAAGAAATCTATGACCAGAAATGTAGAGATCTCTAACTGAGGAAAGGAGCGACTGGTGGGTAGATAGAAAAGCCATCGGGCAGTTACGCCGCCACAATGGGATTCATGAAGTGGAAGACGTTCTTAGGGTCCCACTTGCGCTTTAGCTGTTGAAGCCGCTTCAGGCTGGATCCATACCATGCCTTTGGCCCTTCGTCGCCATGTCCGTAACTGACGTATACCTCCAGCTCTGTGAGGCCGCTCGTCTTCGCAAACTCGCTGCGCGCATTCTTGGCAAATTCATTGATTTCTTCATCAATGTCGTTGTTGTCATAGTTGTACCCCCAAAGTCTTAAGAGAATGTCACGTTAGCTTATGCTGTTGAGTCAGGACGGTAGTCTACTTACAGCAAGTTGGTGCTTTGGCGGTGCTCTGGAGGAAAAGAAGTGGCTGAACTGTTGGCTTGGCGCGCCGCTTGTAGAGGAAGTCCTTCAATAAACCATGTGCTGGCGCGGGTGTCCGGATAGTTCTCAAACATGCGGCTAATGTTTGAAAAATGTGCCTCAAAGGTTGGAATGTCCATAGTCTTGATGTCGACAGTGTACGAGTTGATATGTTTTCCTTTGACGCACTGCGCATCGCCAAACAGCCCGTAAAGAGAAGTGTCAATGATTTTGTTCCACGTCGTCATCGTGATGTTCTTCGTAATCGGACCGTTATCAATAAACGGCTGGAGCAATTTTATGCCTTCTTCCTCCGGACCGTAGTACACGGCGTTGAAGAGAATGTTGGTCTACAGGTATTTTCGTAAGCTCTTGGTCGCATAAAAGGGGAAGTTGTTTTCCTACCCCATTGTACTCTTCAGTGTAGCGGACGTCAGTCATGAACGAAAGTGCGGCTGGTTGATTTTTCTCAAACGTTTTGAGGATTTCGAAGTGACTCTTGTTGGCACTCGCTGGGAAGACAAAGTCTGCGTTGAGTACGTTGCCATTGTTGGTCAACGGGAAGATCCTGTAAGTCGCCCACAAGACGATGCCGAAATTCGGTGTGGCTCCTCGCATGGCCCAGAAAAGGTCGGGGTTCTCAGTTGCAGAGGCAGTGACCAGGTCACCAGTAGCTGTCACAACAGTGAAGGAGAGCATGTTGTCGACAACCAGACCGTGGAGGCCCTCAAGACGGCCAACACCGCCCCCTCCACCGCCTCCAACAAAGCCCACGCAGGCGCAGCTGCCCGTAGCTGTAAATAGTATATTAGCATCTGCAAGATTTCTGACCGTGTACTGAAGATCAATCCACTTACGAGACTCTCGCTTAGCATTCCACAAAGGCTCTACGACGTCTCCAAAAACATTTGCTCCCCCGACCGTAATGGTGTTTGCCTCTGGGTCTACCGTCACGTTTTTAAACGCGCTTAAGTCTATTTCAATTCCATTCTGCAATTCGTGCAATGTCACGGACAGCCCATGGCCTCCGCCAGTGGCAAGGAACGGAATCCCGTTAGCAGACGCGACGCGAACCTTTAAAACAACTTGTTAGTTCGGTTCCTTTTGGTTGGAATAGAACTTACAATCGCCTGGACGTCAGATTCCGACGCCGGCTTGATTGAGGCGACGTAGGAAGGTTGCTCGTAGACGGACCACCGCTGAGTAGTTACATTCGCGTAATCTGGGTCGGTCGGGAAGTATATCTCAGTCTTCGGTGAAACCTTGGTCGAAAATAAGGCTGTGATATTGGAGTGGTTGATAGCAGCCGCAGAAACGGTTCTCATGAGAAGCCAGCTAGCGGCTAACGGAAGGGCTTTCTTTAAGTTCATCATGCTAACTCTTGAGTGTATGGGTAAGAAGACTTGACAAGAAGAGTGGTGCTGTTCTACACCTATGAAGCCGGAGATCCTCGAGTACTTATACGTCGTGGACCGGAAAACACTGCCACACTATCAGGATTTTTTGTAATATTTTTCCACTAGTACACGTTCGTATCGCCTCTGTAAGGCAACAGCATCAACAACAACAGCGCATATTCCAGCCGACGTGATCAAAAAGAAGGGGCCACGCAAGAACAAACTGGGACCAGACTTCTTGAGGATCAACGGGAAGTGTTTGTCTTACTTGAAGGAAGCCTAGGCCTGTCCCACCTATGCTCACTGGGCGCGCGGCTCATGATCTTTCGAGGGCGAACCGGCCTAGTAACAAATTTGGAAATATCCCAGAAAACGAGGCGCTTGTTGGCGGTCAAATTAAGATAAGTATCGAATCGGCTGAGCAGCGAGACCTCTCTATCAGCTGCTGGATGTCTTACTAGCTGATGGGCGTAATATTAAAGTGTTGGTGTTGGTGGCGCAGTCTGCGCCACAAGGCGTAACTATTTCCAATAATGGCGGCTTATTTTAAGCCTCGGAGCAGAAGATGAGGCTTATCATAAGCCTCATCCTACGCAAAGGCGTTTCGTATCTAAATGCAAATTCCTCCTGCCGGTCCATAGTACCAAATTACCGCGTCATAGTCAATGAAAATCGGAGCTCTAGTGTTAACTCCGGAGGCTGACGAAGCTTCCTCGTAAGCATACCGTTATTCTCACTATCAGAAGAGAGTGTGCACTTAGTGTATCCCTTCAAGGCTTATGGTGGCGACCATCACATTACATCCTGCCACATATCTTTTTTCGAGCCTATTACCCCTTCCTGACCAGCTTCTCTATAGACTTGGCGACAGTAGCAGCGTAGTTGCGGTGAGATCTATTAGTAATAGAGGCATCAACGTCGACCGAGGGAGCCATTACAACTACAGAGAAGACCATGACAATAAGGTCCATTGCGGTCCTATTATTCCATGCAACCCCAATTAGCCTTGGCCTTGAAGTCCTTTTAAAAGACAAGGCCGACGAATTACTAGACGCAGGAGGAAAAGTAGGATTTGCTTCAAGTTTGAGTTTAAGCCGGGTGACGGTGGGATTGTCAGTAGCAGCCTGCCAGACATCTTAGCCGGGAGTAAGCTCGGCGACCTAGTCCCATTGATGATCGGTAATGCTAATATTTTTTTTAAAAGAAAACCTGGTATGCTAAAATCGCGGACAACGTTGGCCTCGAAAAGTCGAAAAGCGTCTTCTCGAAGTAAGAGTACGAGTTTTCGATACAAACGCCGGACAATAGGTTGAGGTTAGTAATGGCGCGACGGACATCGTCGACGAGGATTTCATTAGGGTCAAGGATGTAGCGGTGAGAAAGGCCCAGACACTATGCAAAGGCGACTATCTGTATATGTTAAGATTTTTGAAGGGATGCCAAATGGCAAGACCCAGCCCGAGCGTGAAAACACGGTGCCAGACCACGTCTGGGCCGCGATGCAATGGATGCAATCGAGATCAAACGAGGTCTTCGCGGGTGATTGACAAGAACATAGGAGCAGAAGACCGACTGTAGGTTGACTGAGCAGCTGTTCCGCACTCTGGCTTTGAGCGCCTATCGTCAACGAGCGGATGAGGCTGCTGGAAACTTCGATATGCCAGTGAGGGTAAGCTGCTAGCCGAAACGTGTCTGTCGCAAGCTACTAAAATGTACGGTCGCTCAATCGGAGCCAGGATGTCTGCCGTCATCTCCCGTGAGTTGCGCAAGTTTCAATGCACAACTGGTTACTGATTTTAAAGACGTTAGACGTCTGGCCCAAAACCAGAATGACCGAGCAGAAGCCGCTGTCTCCGTTGCCTTACACGACGAGAAAGGCGCTGTGTGTCGAAGGCGTTCAACGCCATCAACTAAATTCTCATAAAAGCAGCACTCAATTTTACCATCTACACTCTTCTGGAAGACTCCTGGTCACTCCTCCGGCCGCCAGAAGGTATCGCACAGGCCACGACAGCGATAGGCCACATGAAGCCCATCTCGCCACCTTCATAACTTGGCGCAAAATCTAGAGCAGGCCGTCAGCGGCGAGGCTTGGAACACGTTGGCAAGCACTTGCCCTCCTCGGGCACCAACACTGAATTCCCCCATGCAACATACGTACTGACGGCTCCAGCCATCTCAAGTAAGCAATGCAGACGGCCTTTACGGCGACCACGGCAGCCTGGATTGCACTTGTGAGCCGGCATCCTAGACAATTTAGTGTGCCGCGCGTCATCTTATCGCAGACAGCCCCACTGCCTAATGCCTTCCCGTGAGATTGCATGCTTGCCCAGCCATTTGCCGACAATCGTCTCCATCATACGGCAGAGGTAGAGCGCGGCGACCTATCCCCACTAAGGGCAAAGTGAAAGGCGAGAGAGACGGGATGGGCGTAAGCGGTTTTCTTTTTTTTTTTTTCTTCTAACTTTATGTTTTCCTTTCATGGTCTTTCTTTGTTGGTAGCCCTCCGCTGTTTGTCCAATGAGGTTATATCGGCGGCACTCTTTCTGTAACGATTGGGGCCAAAGTAGCTGCTGCTTTGTCATAGCTCTAATTCTAGGAAAAAGAAAATGCGGAACCAAACTGAGACAAACAACCTAGGCGCTATATCAGATGATTTGTCAAGGCCTAGAAGGATTCTCAAGGTTGTTTATTAAATGCAACGTTGGCAAATATTTGCCAGAAAAGGATAATGCTGATGCTGACAGTGTAGGTCGCTTGGTATGGCCAGGGGCCGGAGACAAGCATCACGAAAAGGCTTATCACCGTGCATGCATACGCTTAACCCCCACACACCCCCCCACTGTAAGCGAGTTGCCCGCGGGATTTCTGCTATGTACGTACATGCAGGGGGATTTAATGAATGGTAAGGCGGAGCTGTGCATTTTTAGAAAACAATGACGCCGCGACCCATGGACAGCATTTTAGGCTACACAGGCAGCAGTTTGCCTGGGACAATTGCTGCCGGGGGTTCGTATCACTGATTCACTGACAGCATAGAGCGGTGCTTTTGTCTGTCTTTTCGTCTCACCAGGAAGAACTGATTATGCTCCGAGCGTTGGAAGGCAAAGCGCAAAGGCTGCTTTCAGAGGCCATCTATGAAAAAAAGAGCGTCCTGTAAAGCAATCCAGCAGCAAAATGCAGCCTTCACCACGGGCTGACACCGTACCGTCCGACAACCTTGCCGACTTGGGCATCGCGGTCACCACGTACCACGCTGGCGACGAGCTCGCCGCCAACACTAGGATCAGGGGCATTGACCTCCTTGGCCTTTTCGGCACCGATGAAGTTGGTGGCGAGAAGACCGGGGTCGGCGCCCCAGACGCGGACGCCCTGGGGGCGGAGAGATTTGTGTAACTCGATCATGATCATGTTCAGGGCAGCCTTGGAGGCGCGGTACTCGGTCCAGTCGCGGTCGACCTTGCTGATGTAGTACGGGGAGGCCGGGTCGGCGGCATGGGTCAGGGAGCCCATGGAAGAGCTGACGAAGATGAGGCGCGGGTCGGCGGAGCGCAGCAGCAGCGGCAGGAAGGCCTCGGTGGTAGCGACGGGGCCAACAGCGTTGGTTTCGAGGTTGGCTCGCAGGCGCTCATGCGAGGTGAGGGCAGTGCTGGCTACGGCGGCATTGTTGACCAGGCAGTCCAGGCGGCCGTGGGTGGCCTCGACGCTGGCTTGGGCGGCGGCAAGGGATTCGTCGCTCGTGACATCGACGTGCAGTAGCGCCACGCTGCCCTGAAGCGGCAATGCCTGCAGCGCCTTGACGGCGTCGCGTCCTCGCTCGGCAGAGCGGCTGCCGATAAGGACGTGGTTGGCGGGCGACGAGAGGGCAAGGTTCTTTGCCGTCTCGAATCCTACGCCCTGGTTGGCGCCTGGATGCACGTCGGCAGCTGGACGAGGGAGATTGGGGGAGGGGGTGGGTGAGTCTTGCCTGTGATAAGGATGATGCGGGCGGCGGACATGGCGGCTGAGGTGAGTGGGGGACAAGAAAGGGACAAGAAGAGGCGAGGCTTTAGGTTGGATTTATATTTATTTATGTCCATAGGTCACGCCCGCTAAAGCCCGCTAAAACCCGCTAAGCCCCGCTAGCCCCGCTAGCGCCATGGCCGGCTCCGTCCCTGCCGTAGCTAAACTTCACCACCCGGTATTCGTAAAGGGCTGCGTGTGATCGGGCACCAACCACAGCAGATCCGGTTGCCTGTCGCGCTGCTGGTCGCGCTGCTGGCCGCGCTGCTGGTCGCGCTGCTGGTCGCGCTGCTGGAATCGCTGCTTGTGCCTGCTCTTTGCGGCTAGCGGGGTACGGTCGGGGAAGAAGCGCTGGACTATCTCGGTCCACTTGTTGCCGTAGAGGGCCACGGCTTCGTCCAGCATCTGGTCGTCGAGAAGCGACCAAGGGCCGTGGTTGATGCCGGGCTTGATGCACTCGTGCCAGCGCCGCGCGCATTCTGCAACAGTGCGACGTCAGAAAAGTGCCGAGGACGGGAGAGAACAAACAAGATGACGTACGGTCGGGCTGGCGCGTTGCGACGTGCTGGGCCACTGAAGCCCATCGGAGGCCGTGTTGCTGGATGGCCTCGCGCAGCCGCTCGTCTTCGGCCGCGTCCCACGTACCCTTGCGCGAGGGAACGCTCAGCTGGTACACCCAGCGCTTGCGGCATTCTTTGTTGTTGCGCCCGGGCACTTGGCTGGCAACGTCCAGCCAACTCACCGGCCCCGTGCTTTGGGCCACGGCGAAGCGCAAGGCCGCGTCCTCGTCCGAAGTCCACGGTCGCCGTCGTGTCCTCTGCTGCGGCATCATGGCGAGTGTGGTGGAATGGGAAGGGTATGGTTGGGGGTATTTCTGCCGCCTCTCAGCCGCATCGACTCTTGCATCAAGCCGCCGCCGCCGCCACCGGACCTTGGATGCTTTAACCCCGTCGCGCGTCGCTCTCCCGCCAGGCCGAGTGGCCGAGAGCATCTTCTTAAAGATGCAATCGACAGCCATCTCGCAGTTCCCCACCACCCCAGCCCACCATGTCGCACCCTCAACAGGAAGCCAAGCCGCTCGCCCAGCCCCCAGACGGCGGCACCCGTGCCTGGCTCGTCACCCTGGGCTGCTGGTGCGCCTTCTTTGTCACCTTTGGTTGGATCAACGCCATCGGTGTCTTTCAGGAGTACTACCAGCAGCATCTGCTGCGCGACTACTCACCTTCTACAATCGCCTGGATCCCCGCATGCGAGACCAGCATGATGTTTGCCGGCGGCCTCGTGTTCGGCAAGCTCTTCGATAGCTACGGGCCCGTCGCGGAGCTGCTCATCGGCTCCTTCCTGCACGTCTTTGGCCTGATGATGACGTCCCTTTCCACCGAGTACTACCAGATCTTCCTCTCTCAGGCCATCTGTAGCGCCGTCGGCTCCAGCTGCGTCTACTACGCCTGCGCCGGCTCCATCGTCACCTGGTTCGAGCGCAAGCGGTCCACGGCCTTTGGCATCGCCGCCTCTGGCTCATCCATCGGCGGCGTCGTCTTCCCCATCATGGTCTTCAAGCTGATTCCTCGCGTCGGCTTCCCCTGGACCATGCGAATCACCGCTTTCGTCGTCCTCGGCCTTCTCGTCGTCACCAATCTCACCGTACGCTCCATGATCACCCACGCGCCCAAGCCTTTCACCGTGCGCGAATACCTCCTGCCGTTCCGGGAGTTGCGCTTCTCCCTGCTGGTTGCCGCCATGACCATGTTCTCGTTTGGACTTTTTCTCCCCTTCAACTTCCTTGTGCTGCAAGCCCAGTCAATCGGCATGTCGAACGATCTCTCCGAGTACATGATCGCCGTGTTGAACGCTGCAAGGTAAGCACTAGCCCCCACGCACCCCACTAGCCCCGATTTTGATGTGCCTGCAGCTTCTTCGGCCGGACGCTGCCGGGGCCGGCCGCGGATCGGTTTGGCCGCTTCAATGTCATGATCGTCACCATGGTTCTGGCCGGCGTCGTCGTCCTGGCGGCTTGGATCCCAGCGACCACCAACGCCACCGTCATTGTTTTCGCCATCCTCTACGGCTTCTTCTCTGGCGCCTACGTCTCGCTCGGGCCCACGCTGCTAGCGCAAATCAGCGACATCTCCCAGATTGGTATCCGGAACGGCTCTCTCTACTTTGTCGTGTCCATTGCCGCGTTGACTGGTAACCCCATCGCCGGCGCTCTGGAGAACGCGGACCACGGCGGTTTCACCTACCTGCAGATATTTGCTGGGGTCACAACATGCGTTGGTGGCCTGCTGATGCTGGTGACGCGTATATCTATGACAGGGATGAAATGGGCCGTCATTTAGATGTAAACAGAATATGCGAGTCGCTTGCCGTTCAATTGGTTTTTTTTTTTTTTTT